TCAATTTTATCTTCATATACACAGATCCCTCGCAAGCATGTCACTTCTCGGGTGGCGGGGTGCTCGATGTGGAACAAAAGCGTATTCTGGGCGATCTGCTGCCCTTTTCCTTTAAGGGAGGGTAACTTCAGCTCCTGCGTGGTATCGGAATTGTTTGGAAGATATTTGTTTTCTTGGAAATGTAAAGCATAAAGGATGGAGCATACGGCCATCATGAAGCCACTTCTCGGTATGAGTCACACACTAGCCGACCATAGGCTTAAGCGTAAGCCAATGTGTAGGTACATTGCCCAAACCTAAGCTTAAAGGAATCTTCCACGGAAAAAGCTCCGCCTCCATTACCACAGAAAAACGATACCTTAGGCCCCTAGCCTCATGAGCATAGCAAAAAGAACGGAACATAAGCGTTAGTTTCGATAATACTAATCCTACACAAGACAAAATGATCACTCTTTCCGTGGAAGATTCCTTTAAAGGAGGAATTCACGATTAGAATGAAGGTCGAAGAAAGGGAAACTGACCTAGTTGAGGGACCCACGGACCTCCTGAGGGTGCGAACTGCAATTCGCATGGAAAAATTTGACCTCGGCGACCTATCATGCCTCAAAGCTGGCGGGTCCGGCGATCTCCCCACCGATCATCTGATCACTCGCCGTAGTTCAATACGTGGCGAGTGATTAGATAGCTGAGAGAGCGTAGTTGAAGAGGGCACAGCGATGAGAGTCGCATCAATGCTCGAATCAACGGGCAAGGAAGGGGTACCATTTCTCGGGTTCTGGGCCGTTTCTCATGGTTCTTCCTTCTTTCGTGTACCACTCACCATCCCTAGGTTAATTTGAAATGGGTTGCTTTTTCATCGTGAATTCGTCCTTTAAGAGTCGTTTCCGCGTAATGAAAGAGCGGCTTCTTCTGCGGAAGATTCCTTTAACCTTAGGCTTCCATGATCGCGCAGCTCCTGACCTGACCCCAGGAGGAGGACTGAATTCTCCCCTTCAGCCCACGCTGCCTAAATACGCATCAAATAGGGCTATGCTGCTAAAAGAAGAATCAAAGCGGAAAGTGCTGTGTGCTTGGAAAAAGTGGAGACCAGCGAGTGCTCTTCCCTTCGTCCCATTCCTTGAACCAATGTTTCTATGAGAATAAACTCTCGAGGAAAGCGTCCGAGCGTCAGTCAGTCAAGTCGTCTGACTCTGAAGGATTAAAACGATGAAACTTTCGAGAGCCCATAGATTAATTTAAGTTGTTATCACGAGCTCGTGCGCCTCAAAAAATCAGGCAAGAAAAGGCCGTGACGCAAAGCGACATCGCTTGCGGATGGAAATCAGTTCATCAAAAATGTGTCAAAAATTGAGAAAGTCAAAGAGAAGAAACTACGGCATGTTTTATGGCTTCTACATTTCCTCGTGAAGAACATTGAAAACAGGTGATTCACTTGGTTTTGATTTTGCCACGATACAATTACACATGGCACGCAAGCCAGCCCACTTTAGCGCATGCAAGTTCTGAACAAGTGACGCTGATGAACACGCTTCTTGTAGAATGTGGAACGCGGAACTCCTTTTCTTTTAGCACGAATTTACCACTGTTTTTTGTACAACGTAGTGCATTTAAAGGAATGGGTCGGGTTCGAGTCAGGGTATTTTTGCGCTAAAGGCACTACCCAGGTAACGCTTAACTTTGGTCTATGGCATAACCCTAGAGGACAATCACAAATGTGGCGTTCCTCGTGCACGGAAACCAACCGACAAGAGCGCTTGGGCCTTGCAAAGTAAGCTGCTGAAGCTGCAGATTTTTTCTCTTATCAGGCTGTTGTCTGGCGCTCTCTCATCTGTAGCGCTCTCTCGCCTCATACTCTCCTCTCCGCGCTTAGTCTCTCATTCCCTTAGCACAGCCGATTAGGAAGGTGAGTGAGCCCTTAACCTAAGCGTTTTCGACGGATTCTTTCCTTTTTCTTTACTGCCGGCCCATTTCGCACCAATACATTCGCATTCGTGTGCAAGAGCCACACCAATGTGATCCTGGGGCATGCCTTTTAAAAGTGGGTGCTTAATGTTCAATGTAATTTCAGTGAAAAAGAATCAGCAAGAACCGTCGACAACACCGAAAATAAAATCTCCTTCCCCAACAGCGGCGAAGGAGGCTGGCTTGGGGGAAACGCATGTCCGACGAGTTCTTGAACATGCCAACCATTGCGTGTAAGCAGGGGGATACGGCCAACTCAGCTGATTTCACGCGTTACTCCAACCACGCACCATGTCCGGCGGTGGGCGGTCAGAGCGCACGTCGTCCTAAATGCTAGGCCAGAATTGCTGTAGCCGCGCGGTTTCGAGTCACAGATGCGAGGAATCACCTCTCATGGTTGCAGAGCAGCTCAGAGTAACGGCAGAGCGGCGTCCTTTCATCCTTAAACTGCGACCAGTGCTACTTGAAAGCTGGTTTTTTACTGGTAATTACTTCCACTTATCTGGATTAGTAGCGGTCAAAAGTGTTCGCCGATACGATTTTGTCGTGCATTACAGTTTTTTTCTTGAAGAAGATTCGAAGCTCCTAAATATTTTACTCTTTGATTCCTTGAATCCTTAGCAAATGAGGATTCAGGAAGGTCGTAAGACACAAAATATCTGAAGGCAATTGGTCAGGTGAGAAAGGCAGTGCACGAAAAAACCGTTTAGCGCGACTTTTGACCGCAGCTGTATGTAGCTGTCAAGAAGAGTCCCTCCTGGAGTGTGATGTGACGGTGCTAAAGCTTGCCTGTATGCTGCCGTGCTGCCATCCTTACAGCGGGCTCTCTCGTGTTTTCCCTCTCCTTAAAGTGCTATGTCTCTCCGTCATACCACGGGCGGCCTCACAAGGGATATTAGCGTTTTCTATGGCCCTCCCCAATGACGCTCCTCACCGCACTTTCTGATTTTCGAACGAAATAACACATCGATCCCGATTAGTCCCGACTAGTATCTTTGACAGGGAGAGCACAAATGATCCCGCACTTGCAGAGTATAGACAGTAATAGTTAAACTGAGTGATTTAAAAAAACGGTCTGGTGATTTAAAAAAACGTCTGAACGTTGGCAATGTCATGAATGGGCCGGAGTCATTCCACTCCGGTTTCAGGATGCGCCACGCATTCCAACCACAGTAGAAGTAGTGAGGGTACTTTCTATGCATATCCGGTCAGCAAAGTCTCTAGCAAACAGTCTGGTGCTT